GCGCACGCGCACGCGCACGCGAACGCGCACGCGCACGCGGACGAGCACGAGCACGCGCACGCACACGCACACGCACACGCACACGCACACCCACACACACACACACACACACACACGCGCGCGCACACGCACACACGCACACACGCACACACGCACGCACACACGCACACACGCACACATGCACGCACACAAAACAAGATAAGAAACACAGTATACATATATGTCTGTAAGTGCATATTATAGTGTATGTGTATACACACATAGCTGCAGACACAGGTGCCGGAGCCCGCAACGACTGAGGCACGCTTGATGGTCCTGCCTGAAGAATCTGTTGCAAGTTGGAAGGTTTTTGCAATTGACACGGCCGTGGTGCCTCTAACAGTGAATACATGTTGGGCTTGAGGTGATGGGAATGACCCAGCTTTCTGCTATGGTGCTCCTGTTGCCCAGCACAGCTGAAGATCCCATCATTCGCTAGGCCGCTGCTGAAGAACTCCTCGCCACTGCTGAGGCACGGTCGTTGTTTTTCCAGACCGGTTTGCCCGAAGATTACATCACCAGTTCACCTAGGACCCTAGAAAAGATACTATCCAACGGTTGTTTGTGACATCCTGTTTGCCCAAAGCAGCTCAAGATCCCAAGATTGGTGTCCGCAGTTTTGTAGATCTGCAGCTCAATCTCTGTACCATGGAGAGTTGCCAGGACGTTGGTTTGAGGCTGAGTCTACTAAATCGCTTTGGGCCGTTGGGCTGCGGGGTTCCCTTGGTTTCGATCTTGCAGCCTATAGGTTCGAAACGCAAAAGGTTTATGGTTGTCGATCTTCACGAACCTCCTATGATGTTTGGCGTGGATGCTGGCTTTTCTTTGGCCTCGACTCTGACACTGTAGCTCGGAAGCACTTCTCTCCGACTGTTCCCTCTTTGTTTGACTCTCTCTGCGTCTCTCTCTCTTTCCCTCTCCCTCTCTAGCTCTCTCTCCCTTTGTCTGTCTCTCGCTCTCTATTTCTCTCTCACACTCTCTCTCTCTCTCTGTCTATCCCTCTCCCTCTCTCTTTATCTCTCACTGTCTCTTTGAGTCTGTTTGCCTCCCTCTGTCGCTGTATCTCTCTCCTCTCTCGCTCTCTCTCTCTCTCCCCCTCTGTTTCTCTCCCTCTCTCTCTCTCTCTCTGCAATCCGAAATCCACCAGGGCCTCATGAACCTGTGAAGCTGCTGTAACAAGTCTCTTCCACTGCAGGTTGAGCCTGAAGTCGTCGAGGAGGCCACCGTGGTGGTGGTGTTTGACAGCGATACCAGTTTTCTTGGAGCAACCCGCTTGGCTATGCCTGAACAGACGCCTTTTGTTGAGGTTGTGCCTCCGGTCTGATTAAAGCAGCAAAGCAGTTGCGCTGTTGCTCTCGTTGCTTGCTCTGGGCACTTGTTGTGCTATGTCTTTGAGCTTTCTTGTTTCATTCCCAGGGAGAGGTGCACCATGCAGTTCATGGTTGTTCACTGCGAAGATCGTTCGTAAGAGGCACCTGCATTGGTTCTAAGTGCCGCAGATAGCATTGACAGATCCCCAGATGCCATCACATGCAAAGAAGCAATGACACCCACACGAACGCAACAAGGTGAAGGTTTATACATGCAGCCACACACGGGCAGGTGACGTCTATGCCGGAGCCCGCGACGACTGCTAAGGTGCACACGCTTCGTTTGTTTGTTTCGATGACCTCAGAGTGCACATGCTTTGTTTGTTTCGATTTTTCGGCGTGGAGAATGCATTGCCAGGTGGAATGTTTTGGCAAATGCGATTTCCGCCTCTAACAGTGAATACAGGGTCGGCCTGAGGTGATGGAAATGACCCAGCTCTTTGCTATGGTGTTCCTGTTGCCCAGCACAGCTGAAGATCCCATCATTCGCGAGGCCGCTGCTGAAGAACCCCTCGCCACTGCTGAGGCACAGTCTTCGTTTGACCAGACCGGTTTGCCCGAAGATTACATCACCAGGTCACTATAGGACCCTAGAAAAGCAGATGCTACCCAACGGTTGTCTGTGAGATCCGCTTTGCCCAACGTAGCTCAAGATCCCAAGATTGGTGTCCGCAGTTTTGTAGATCTGCAGCTCGATCTCTTCACCATGAAGAGTTGCAAGGACTCGGTTTTGAGGCTAAGTCTACTCAATCGCCTTGGGCAGCAATGCAGAGGTTCTGTTGATCGAATCTTAACCTACTTTGCGCTGAGAAGTCGTAAAACTGGCACGAGCCGTAATTTCCTGTACCAAGTCTGTTCGAGCGCAGGCAGAGCCCGAAGTGGTCGAGGAGGCCACGGGGCGCAGCATGAAAAGTCAGTTTGCGATTTGGAGCTAGACGATCCGCACATGCTCTCCTTCAAGAGCTTGTTGACTTCCCTGACATGAATAAGCAGGATGGTGGTGTTTGAAAGGGGTACCAGTGTTGTTCGAGCAACCCGCTCTGCCTGAACACAGGCCTTTTGTTTAGTTCGTGCCCCCAGTCTATTTGTATCAGGATAGCAGTTGCGGATCTATTGTTCCTCGTGCTGCTTGCTTGCTGCGGGCTCCTGTTGTGCTACGTCATTGGGCTTTATTGCTGTTCGTAAGACGCACCTGCATTGGTTCTAAGTGCCGCAGATAGAATTGACAGATCCCCAGATGCCATCACATGCAAAGAAGCAATGACACCCAGACGTACAAACACACAAACAACTCAACACAAATACCAACAAGGACAAGGATATGTGTGAATGTTTATACACGCAACCACGCGGGCAGGTGACTTGTGTGCCAGAGCCCGCGGCGACCGCTGAGGCCCAGACGGTTGCCAGTTGGAAGGTTTTGGGGGTTCAGGGTTTTGGGGTTTAGGGGTTTAGGGTTTAGGATTTAGGGGTTTAGGGGTTGTTAGCAAATGAGATGGCTGTGTGCCTCTGACGGTGAATACAGGGTGGGCGTGAGGTGATGGAAATGACCCAGCTCTTTGCTAGTGTGCCCCTGTTGCTCAACACAGCTGAAGATCCCATTATTCGCAAGGACGCTGCTGCCGAACCCTTCGCCACTGCTACTGCTGAGGCACAGTTGTCGTTTGTCCAGACCGGTTGGGTAGCAGATTGAATCACTACGTTCCAAGTTGCATCTAGATCTCATCGTTGTGATCTTTGCTCAGAGACTACAGGCTCCCGTATTGTCATAAATGTTTAGCAAAAGCTCTGTCCCTGCCGATGTTTAATGAGTGCTCAGCTTTTTGATATAAAAATGGTGGCCTCCAGGTTCCGTACAAAGTTCAAGAATGTAATTATTGCATCCATAGTTCCAAGTTGCATCTCGATCTCATCATCGTGATCTTTGCTCAGAGACTACAGGCTCCCATATTGTAGAGGATTCGCAACAAGGGCGACAGAGGAAAGACCAAGAATCGAGATGACAACCTTCCGGAAAATCGACAACCGGCTTTGACCGGAGTCTACAGGTGTGTGTGTGTGTGTGTTTGCGTGTGCAAAGTGTTTTTTTGTTCGGACTTGAGGTGGGCCATACTATCCAACCGGTCACTTGGAATGAAAGCCCTAAACCCCTAAACTCTCAATCTCTCAGGCTCATAACTACCTATAGTCTCCATTGTAGTTCCTTTTTGGGGCTGCCTTACAGGATCCAAAATATGGAACTTGGTTAAACCAAAAAGAGGAACTACAATGGAGACTGTAGGTAACGCTATAGTAGCAACCCTAATTTTTTTTTGGGGGGCTCATAACTAAAAGCCCTAAACCCTAAACCTTACACCAAACCCCTAAACCCCCCGCCAAGGGCTCTGAATGCCCGGTTCTCTGTCGTAGCTTCAAACGATCATGCCAGGAGCGGCCACAGATGTCCGACGATGGCCCCTCCCTTACACTGGTTTCGGGGATTTAGGGGTTTAGGGTTTAGGGTTTAGGGCATAAGGTTTAGGGTTTAGGGTTTCGGGTTTAGGATTTGGCGGTTCAGGGTTCTGGCTTGAGAATGTACGGTGTAGTTCAGGGATTTGGGGTTCTGTGTTCAAAGTGGTTGCGGTACTGTCCGGGTGCTGCTCCTGAGATGTTTCTGAGAAGCCGAGCAGCCTCTAAACCGACATAGACATAGAAGCCTTCGTCCAGGGGAGTACTTTAGATACTTACATGCATACATACATACATGCGTACATGCTTAACAAAGAACACACGAAAACATATGATGGATAAAGCAATATCCACACATACATACATACATACATACATATGTATGTATCTTACAATAATATGTTAGTATATAGTACTTGTGTTCCCCAAGAACCTAAGCCTTAAGCCCCAAAGCCTAAACCCTAAAACCTAAACCCGAAAACCTAAACCCCTAAACCCCTAAACCCCTAACCAGTAAACCCCTACACCCTAATACGCCGTTGGGCTCTTTCAAGGGCTCTTGTCCTCATGTCATGAAGAAGAAACCTTGAACCCTAAACCCTGAACCCTGAACCCGAAACCCTAAACCCGGAACCCTAAACCCTAAACCCTGAACCCTGAACCCGAAACCCTAAACCCTGAACCCTAAACCCTAAGCCTTGAACCCTGAACCGAAACCCTAAACCCTGAACCCTGAACCCTAAACCCTAAGCCCTGAACCCGAAACCCTACACCTTGAACCCTAAACCCTAATCCCTGAACCCTGAACCCGAAACCCTAAACCCTGAACCCTGAACCTTAAACCCTATTCCCTAAACCTTAAACCCTGAACCGTGTTTCAGCTGGTATTGGAGAATCCCGAGACCCCGATCCGCTTTCAACCCGCGGAAACCGAAAACTTCACATGTCGGGGTTGATAAGGGCTTCGGGTCTAGGGGTTTAGGGGTTTAGGGTTTCGGGTTAAGGGGTTAAGGGGTTAAGGGGTTTAGGGTTTAGCGATTTAGGGTTTTGGGGCCCTGCACCCCAAACCTTCAACTGATGTTTAGACCCTACAACCCAGATATTCGAAGGATGGGGCGATGATTTCGGCTTCGACGACGATGATGCCGCGGCCTTGTCACAAAGCTATTTGTCACTACATGTCACTATTACCATTGTTAGTATCATTATTATTGTCACCAGTGTAATCGATGTTGTGCTCATTATAACAATTTCCGTTATCACCAACGACATTGTTATTGTTAGTATTTGCGTGTTTGTGTAGTTCCTTGTTTGTGTGGCTGTTTGAAGTTATTGTTGCTGCTGATGCTGCTGCTGCCGTTGTTGCTGCTGCTGCTGCTGCGGCGAGTGTTGCGACTGCCGCTACTGCCGCTACTGCTGCTGCTGCTGCCGCTGCCGTTTTCTGTTGTTGTCGTTGGTGTTGCTGTTGTAGCTGCTGTTGTTGTTGTTGCTGCTGTTGCTGCTGTTGCTGATGTTTTTGCTGCTTCTGCTGTTGCGGTTGCTGTTGCTGCTGCTGTTGCGGTTGTCGTTGTGATTGCGATTGTGGTTGTGGTTGTGGTGTTGTTTCTGTTGAGGTTGCTGTTGCTGTTGTTAAAATGTGCGTTTTTGCCTTCTAGAATTCAGGATCTTGCATTGAACGGCGAAGGCTTGTGCTTCAGTTAGCGCAACCTAAACCCGGATGTTTCGCTTTCGTTCAGCCTAACCTGAAAACTTCGATTTGTTTCAAACAGAAGTTAATGGTTACATATTCATTCATTCCCTCCCCACAAAAGTCTGTTCCGATGCTTGAGGCCCCTGTATTGGAGGAGTTCGGAACATGCTTCCCCTCGGCTTGTCTTTCTCCGAGTCTGAATAGACAACACCCACTGCAGGTTTTCTCGCCCAAACCAGCAACAGAGGCCGTCCAGCTCGGGATAGTAGCCAACTGCAGAGAGCCGGGAAGGGATATTCTTGTGGTCGTCTGTCGTGCTTGCGGCCGACGCCACTTCCGAGGGTCCTTCCCACCATGGTATGTACCTGAAAGTTCTTGGTTGTGCAAATTCTCTCTTTCGAAGAATGTTTGTTGGAGGCGTCTGTATAGGTTGACACTGAGTGCTGCAGATTGCACTGTCCGATCCTTAGTCTCACCAACAAGCACAGCAAAGACGCGCAAACACCCAAGACACACAAATACACACAAGCCCACGCAATCACACTGGCACACACACGCTTACATTGCTTACTTACTGACTTGCTGTCACACGCACTTACAGGCAAAAACACAGAATAACACGCACGGGTGCACATGTGCGCACCCGAACATGCACACGCAGACATTCATGCCTTCCAGACATAGTTGGGCAGATAGGTAGATAGATAGACAGTTAGATAGATGGACATAACCAGAGAGAGAGAGAGGGTGAGATCTATGTCTATGTATATGTGTATCCATACATATATGTTTATTTGTTGGTCATGTAGATGCATACATACTGACATACATATGTGCAACACACGGGCAGGTGGCAGCTGTGCCGGAGCCTGCTACGGCCCTTGAGGTGCAAACGTTTGTTTTTCTCGACGGTTCGTCGAAAGACTTCATTGCCAGTTGAGAGGTTTCGGGACGTGAGACCAAAAAAATGCTATGAGCAATAGCAGCTTCAAGTGCCACGTTTTGTTTGGGCGTGAGGTGTCGAAATGGTCCAGCTGTTCGTTTTGATGCCCCCCAGTGCCCAGCACCAATTCAGATACCACGATTTGCTAGGCAGCTGACCAAGAGCCTGCCGCAACTTCCGAGGCACAGTTGTTGTTTGTCTCACTTACCCGTAGGCTCCATAGTAGTTCCTTTTGGGGGTTCATATTCAGAATCCTCTAAGGTAATCCCAGAAAGGAACTACTATGGGGCCTATGGGTAGATTGAATCGCAAGTTCATTTATAACTCGAGACAGCAGGATGCTGCATAGCTGTTGTAATTTCGTTACCAGTGCCAGACGCAAATAAACATGTCAGGGGCTGTTTTCTCGCTTGCGTTGTCCAGCACCACACAAATTTGTACTGGGACAACGGCAGGAACAACACTGACAACACATCAACGCCAGCAACACAAAGCAACAAGAACTGCAGTCCCCGTCAACTCCCCCTTTGTTTTTGGCTGTGCATTGGGTAGAGACAACAGGAGCCTCGTCATATTGTTTTGCTTCCCCCTCACCAACACCAACACAGCCGTTATGATGTACAGGATCACCACCGAGCAAACCGTCCCAGAGGTGATGTTGATCTTAACACACTCAGGCCTAAACCCTGTAAACCCTGAACTCGGTTCCCCCTTTCCGCTTCCTCACCTGATCAAATCGAGGCAGAGGCTGAAGTGGTCGAGGAGGCCACGGCATTTATTACGGCATCAAGGTTTAGGGATTACTATGGATTTTTTGGTTTATGGGGTTTAGTGAATGTCCATGTCAAGATGCTGTCCTGCCGGGCCTCAATGAACATCGCAGCGTGATCGTCTTCACAAAACAGATATCAGTATCGATGTGTTCTTCTTGCGTGCTTCTCACGCTATCTCACGCTGAGACGCACCTCGAAGTTCATGGTTGTTCCATGTCCCTTGCGATCTAGTATCGTATGCTGACTTCTTGTATCCACGTGCGCTAGAGGACACACACACACACACTCAATTACAGACATGTATGCAAACATGGGTGCAATGTAGATATTAGATATTAAATATAGGTTTGGATGCCCGCGAACAGGCGGCAGCTGTGCAGGATCCTGTGGCGACCACACAGGCGCAAACGGTTTATCGTCTCGAAGGTTCTGCCCGAAGACTGCGTTCGTTGCCGGCAGTCAGTTTCGCTGTGCCCGTCTAGCGGTTCTTATAAGGTCGGACGTGCGGTGTTCGAAATTAACCAGCTATAGGGCTTAGGGTTTAGGGACGTTTAGGGTTTAGGGTTTTGGTGCCCCGATACATTGTCCGCTTGCCCGTGGCATCCATCGCGCGTTCCCTTCGGACCTTAGGACTCGAGACAGCAGATACTGGACAACTGTTGTTTGTTGGCAACCCTTGACAAACAATATGGCTTTGTATTGGAGTTTACCAGGTGCTACAATCCTTCATCCCGGTAAAGCTTGGCTAAGGAGGTTATGTAGATAATCAAGGTCTAGTAGCCTCAACCATCAAGCACTAATTAAGTCGAAATGCATCTCAATTTACCGCTTTAGCTTGGAGCAATGGAAAATTTTTTGTGTAAACATGAGTGCAAACCCTGCGCGCGGAAGACACGGCGCAAGGGCGGGCGCAAGCACCGCCCTAAATGCCTGGGCATGGCCCCGTTAATTTAGGACAACATCCACATGACATGGGGCTCAGGCTACGGGTTGAGGGTTGTGCAACGGTTGCAGTGCAGTTCCCTTCAGGGTTCACATGCCGCATTGGGCTTCATATGCTTCCATGAATACTCGTAACCAAGTACCGGACCTTTCGGGTTTTGCAACAATCCCGAAACTCTAAACCGCAAACCTTGAAATCCAAAGCCCGAGACCATAAACCCGAAACCGTGGACTCTGCACCAGTCTTTGGCCGAGCTTGCAAAGCGGCTCAACATAGAAGCCTGAATGGTTAGTAATGGTTAGTAATACTGACCCGCAATGTTCCTGAATATAGTTAGATAGTGTAAGAAACCCCCGAAACCGTACTAAGGTGGGCTAGTTATAGTATAGGCCCCTCTATCAAACCCTTACGGTAACCTGGATAGCAACGGAACCCTGAAGGGAAGAGTCTAGTTGAACAATATAAGCCCCTATGTTACGCAGCTCGGCAAGGTGGCGAACGGCCACCCCGAGAAGGAAGAGGGCGAGGCATTGGGCTTGATGCAGGATTTCGGGCTAGGGTTTCGGGTTTTGGGGCCATAGGGGCAACAAGGGTTCCTTTAATATTATGGTCTGACGACCAAGTTAAAAAAAACCGGCTTAAGGTTTCGGCTTCGCATAGTCATATAGGGGCCTGGATAATTACCAATCCGGTTGCAGAGGGTTACGAAGCGTATTTATGCCACAATCTACCCGAAACCCCCCATTTCTATTTGTTGCAGGCCCCTCGACCAGAGTTTTCCGATTTTCAGTTAAGATATTGCAAGGGCGGGGTGCCATCGAATCTATGATAGTCTGACATAGGCCGTAAAAAGGTTGACAGGACAACGGGTTTACTTATGCAGAGTTCAGGATTCTGGTGTGGATTTGTGCAGTTGAGTTTTCGAGCTTTACATAGGGGCCTTAATGATTCCCTATACGATTTTGGGGGTTCCTTATTAGGATTATAGTAATGGGCCCCAAAACCCTATTCTAATTATTAAGGCCTACCCTAAAGCCTAGGTTTAGGGTTTAGGGTTATGGTTTAGCCCTAAACCCTCAACCGTTTAGGGGCTTCTAGGGCTTCAGGTTTACGGGTCGGGGCTGGGGCTCCCGGGTTCAAGGTTTCGTGTTGGGGGGGTTTAGGGTTTAGGGTTTAGGGTTTAGGGTTTGGGCTTTAGGGTTTCGGGTTGTTTTGAGTTTGATAACTAACTAGGGCTTGCGGTTGTTTGCTGTTTGGGGCTAAGGGTTTAGGGTCCAGGGCCGTATCAGGACGACAAGCCAAACAGTAGGTTACAGTTTTGGTGGTTGGCTCGATTGTTCGAAATGCTATAGGTCCCTGAGCCTTGTAAGCCCTAAATCCCATTATCCTCAGCTCTAGGACTATAAGCACACAAAGGCCTAGACCTCCTTACAGGTACGGCCCTGAATTTAGGGAACCCCTCAAGGAAGCCATATGGGTAGTTTTCTACATTATAGGGTCCTTTGTAGGGCCCTTTTAAAAGGGTGCCGTACCAAATTTGGGGACCTAAAAAGGGACCCCAATTTAGAGAACTACACATATACTAGAGCCTAAACCCTAAACCCTAAGCCCCGAACAGCCCTCTTTGAAAACCCTAAACCCTAAACCCTAAACCCTAAACCCTAAACCTAAGCCCCGAACAGCCCTCTTTGAACCGCACGAAAGGAACCTGAAGTCCCATGCCCAGAACCCTTCACCCAATAACCTTACTTAAAGGTTCATGGGACTTAGTAACTGGGGTTTAGGGTTTAAGGGTTTAAGGGTTTAGGGGCTTGGGTTTAGGATTTTAAGGTTCATGGGACTTAGTAACTGGGGTTATAAATAACGTAACTACAAAAACTAATTACTTATAACCCCAATTAAGGTACTTATAGGGGTTATAAATAAGGCAACTATACGAAATAATTACTTATAACCCAAATTAAGGTACTTATAACTATACTTACTAAGTCCCATGAACCTCCAAGTAGGGGCTCTGCTCGTGGCCAGGACGTGGCACAGATGTCCGATGGCCCGGACCTTTGACTGACGCGAGCAACAGTCAAGGTAAAGCTTGTTTCGACTTAACGGTTATAAGTTATATGCAAAAAAGCGAAGCCCAATAAATCTTATGCACTATTAGCCTATGCACCTTCTAGATTTGCAAAATCTGCAAGCCGTATAAATCTTGGAAACGCTTTCATTGCTATAAGCCCTATGCACTCCCATACACTTTAGAAGCCCTAAGCCCTGAGCCACATCGTTGCTCTTGTGGATGTCAGGCTAGGGTCTGTGGTGTTTTAGGAGTTGCGGGTCTAGGGTTTAGGGGTTTATAGGGTTTTCGGAGCAATTACCCCTAAACCCTAAACCCTTAAACCCTAAACCCCTAAACCCTAAACCCTGGACACTCTTCCCCAGGGTTTCTTTGTTACTAGAACTTGTGCTCCGGAACCCTGTTCCAAGAACGCAGGCCCCTGTCTTGCAGGAGTTGTCGGTTCATCGGTTCAGCTAATGCAGGGGGCTAAACTTTTACCACTGTTATCTTGGGAGGCTCCTTATTATAAGTACAGTATACTGGGCCCCAAAACCATATTCTAACTATGAAGGCCCCTACATTATAAATACAGTATGTTGGGCCCCAAGACCCTATTCTAATTATGAAGGCCCCTACATTATATATGGAGTATATTGGGCCCCAAAACCCTATTCTAATTATGAAGGCCCCTACATTATAAATGTAGTATATTGGGCCCCAAAACCCTATTCTAATAATGAAGGCCCCTACACTACCTACATTAAGATGAATTTCGAACTGCTGGCCTTGCCGGTTGGGGTTTCCGCGAGTTCTTGTCGACCCTTCGCTAATAAACTCTTTCAAACCCCCTGTTCTTCCGAGGACTTCGGGTTTAGGGTTTAGGGTTCAGGGTTTAGGGTTTTGGGGTTTAGCGGTTTAGGGGTTTAGGGCTAAGGGGTTCTTCAAAGGACTTAAGTTCCTGATTACCCCAAAACCCTACCTATAGTCTCCATTGTAGTTCCTTTTTTGGGTTAACCGAAGTTATACTGTAGGATCCTTACCATAAAACTTGTTAACCAAAAAAAGGAACTACAATGGAGACTATAGGTAACCCCCCCCCCCTTTTCTTCAAGGGCCTTAATTAAGATCCCGATTTCAATCCCTTTCAAAGTCGCTGCCGCTGGTTAAAATGTAAAAGCGAGACAGGCGAGACAGAGGCTTCCACATCGCCCCGAAACCCTTAAACCCTAAATCCTAAACCCTAAATCCTAAACCCTAAACCCTAAATCCTAAACCCGAAGCCCTTCAAATATCTTAGCCTTGAGCCCCAAACCAAAGCCAGGTTTAGGGTTTAGGGCTTCGACCCCAGAGGCTCCAAACCCTTTAAATCCCAAACTAGGTGAAGGTGTTGGGGTTTAGGGTTTAGGGTTTAGGGTTTAGGGTTTAGGGTTTAGGGTTTAGGGTTTAGGGTTTAGGGTTTAGTAAGGATTTGTGGAATTTTCCTAAACCAGGCCCGAAGCCCTCAACCCTGAATCCTCGAGCCTTCGGAAAGCCTTGTTCTACCCAAAACCCTCAAATGATCTCAAAGCCTTTTTCCTTAAATCCCTAAGCCCCAAACCCCAGCCTTTGACCCAAAACCAGAAACTCGTGATGCCAGTCTTGTTAGAAAGCACCGCAAATCCTTACGCGCTAAAAAGTTCTCCCAGGTTACAGCCCCAAACCCTAAAGAAAGGGTCTAGGGGTTAGGCTTCGCAAGCACAAAGCCGTGAGAGGCTGGGGAGACTTCACCCTTGACGACGAGGCTGCCGCCACGTGTGGAATTTGAGTCAAAAGCTAACACATGGCGGATAGGGTTCATGGAAGGGTCTCATTAAAGGGTACTAGAATGGTTACTACAAGGGTTCTAGCAGGTTTCTATGATAGATGAGCCCTATTCTAGAGGTAGGGCTCATGAATTGGGATGGCACTCCCTTGCAGTCGCAAGGAAGCAGTCCCAGGCAATGCTGATCTTAGCCTAGACTTAAAGCCCTGACCTTATTCTGATCGAATCCAGGCAGAGCCCGAAGTGGTGCACGAGGCCGTGCTGCTTTTCATGAAAGTCCACTCGAAGCTTTAAAACATGTCGATGCGAAGATGCTCTCCTGAAAAGCTTGCACTTCACTCAACTTGCTGGTAGATATAGTAAGATGGTTCGTTCCGAGCAACCCGATGTGCCTGCCTCCGGGACAACATGCTTGTTCGGTAATGCCTCCAGTCGTTGTCGGCTGAGTGCTCGTCTAGAAGCAGGGCGTTCACAGATTAGTTCCTCACCGTCTTGTTGCGATGAAATGCACGGCAGAGTTGATAGTGTTGCACTACCCTTGCATGGATTGAGGCACGACCGCCAGAAGCACATATAGGACGCACAGACAAGACAGATCCCGAAAAACAAGCAGAGCAAGGACGCGCAGACACCTCAAACGCCACGAGCACAAACACACACACAGAGGTTATAAATGTGTGCACGTCCTATGTGAAGGTATGTGTGTGTGTGTGTATCTATATATGTATGTATATATTTACACACATCTCGCGGTAGTTCTTCGAGGGTGGTCTATATATATATATATATACGTGTACGCAAACGCTATGCACATGCATGCATGTATGCATGCATGCATGTATGTATGTATGTATGTATGTATGTATGTATGTATGTATGTATGTATGTATGTTATGTATATATCGAGCTATATATATATATATACACACATACATATTCGTGTGTATACATAGACACGGATGTCGGCAGGTGGCGGCTGCGCACGAGCCCATCACGACCCCGGAGGCGCACACCGTTTGTTGTCTCGACATTTTTTCCAGACGACTGCACTGCCAATTGTAAGATTCCAAGATTCGTGGCATGAGTTTTGTGGATCTGCAGCTCGAAGTCTTTACTGTGTAGTGTTGCAAGGATGGGTGTTCGAGGCTGAATTTACTTGATAGTTTTGGCGGTTCGGTTGAGAGTTCGTTCGTTCGAGTCCCGCAGCCCCTGAAGCACAAATTCACCAAGGATTGCATGGGGCTGCTGTAGGGCTTGGCACAGAGGGTGTCCGGCAGTGCGCTGTCTTTTGTTGATGACTTGTTCTTCGTCGGTCTTCGTATCCACTTTGATCGTGTAACATGGAAGGCCCATCTGTCGTCTGTCTGTCTATCCACCTATTCATCTACCCATCTTTCCTTCTATACATCGATCCATCTATCTAGCCCTGCCTCTCTCTCCCCAACCCTCTCTCCGTGAGTATGTGGACTCGGGATTGCTAGCTCTGCACCACCAGCAGCTGCAACCAATCAGGACCTTATGAACTTGTAAATCTGTTGACAGCCATGAACACCAAGCAAACAGTGCTGCAGGCAATGATGATCTTAACCTGCTTAGGCACTACTACCCGACCCCTAAACCCCAAAGCCATAAACCCTATACTACCCGATCCCCGTCTTCTCTATCGCTCGCCTGCTCGGTCTATTTCTCTACTTATCTATCTACCTATCTACTTATCTATCTATCTTTCTACCTATCTACCTACCTGCCTACCTACCTAACTAACCTACCTACCTACCTACCTACCTACCTACCTACCTACCTGCCTGCCTTCCTACCTACCTACCTACCTCCCTACCTACCTACCTGCCGACCTACCTACCTACCTTTGCTTACCTACCTACCTACCTACCTACCTACCTACCTACCTACCCACCTACCTACCCACCTACCTACCTACCCACCCACCTACCTCCCTACCTACCTACCTACCTACCTACCTACCTACTTACCTACCTACCGACCTACCTACCTGCCTACCTACCTACCCTACCTACCCTACCTACCCTACCTACCCTACCTACCCTACCTACCCTACCTACCCTACCTACCCTACCTACCCTACCTACCCTACCTGCCTACCTGCCTACCTGCCTACCTGCCTACCTGC